AGTATGTACCGGATTGTCAATTGAAGCATTGGAAGGAAGAACAGAGAGCTTCCATCCTCTTATCCATAGCTGTCTTCCGCATATAGGTCAGAAAGAAATAGCAAGCAATATGTTGTCAATTCTAGAAGACAGTAAGCTAGCAATAACAACATTAGACATGAACCTACCAGATAAATATGGATTTCTGAAGCAGGATCGTTACAGTCTGCGAAGTTCAGCACAATGGCTTGGGTCAGCCGCTGAAACACTAAACGAATCCTGTAGAAGAATTACAATTGAACTAAACAGCGCAAACGATAATCCAATTATTGATCATCGTACAGATAAAATTTTGCATGGAGCAAATTTTCAGGGAGAAACTATGTCTATTGCAATGGATCAAACACGACAGGCGCTTGGAATTTGCGGAAAGCTACAATTTGCTCAATTTTCAGAGGTTGTAAATGAAAAGCTGAATTTTGGATTGCCACCGAATCTTAGTGGATGTGATATCAATGTGGATTTCGGATTCAAAGGCTGTGATACAGCAATGGCCTCTTACATGTCTGAACTCGATCATTTTGTCAACCCTATGAGTAATCATGTATTAAGTGCAGAAACACATAACCAGTCAATCAACTCAATGGCTTTAGTCAGCGCTCGATTCACCTCAGAGGCAGTGGAAATTTTGCAAATGATGACGGCAAATCTACTTCTCCTGGCTGCGCAAGCCATCGATCTACGTCATATCCGGAATATCGTTTTAAAAGAAATCGATACGCTGACACAAAAATACCCGGATATAGCGACAATATTAGATAAAATAGAATGGTATGACTTGCTGTTTTCATCTAAAAAGAAGACTGCTAAGGAGACCGATGTCCGATCAGTAGGAGAGCAGTTTGCAGCAAAGGATCGTCTATCAAAGAGATTGTCTGACTTATACAATTCAGCTTGTAATGGAAAAGTGGATGCCTCCAAACAGATGGGAAAAGGTTAGTCACATATTCTAGATAATAATGTTTTCTTTTGATATCAAATTTTAACATTTTGATTGGTGAGAGGGTGGGGGTTCAGGGGTCGTTCGAGCTATGATTTATATAAAATGTTTAAGTAAAATCAGTTGTTAAAAAATATTTTTGAACACAAATCATGGTGATATTTTAGTAAAAAATTATATAATATTAAATCATTTTCAACCATTTTAACTTTATTTATCAACCAGTCTAAGTTGAACTTTTTTCTTCAAATGGCCAACTCATCAATGAAAATATAGGACATGGATGTAAACGACTGGATGTCATCGTTCAGTTTTAACAATGAGTAATTTTGCCTCTAGACCTAGTTCAAACCTGCCACATACTCATATGTCTGTCTCATATCAGAAAATGGCTGCTATATCTAAAAGTGTCTTAAAAAATGTCTGAAAGCGTGTTTGTCTTTAAATGAATTTATTTAAAAGCGAGATCTGTGATAGCCTATACAAAATATATTCCTAACTCGGAGATAAAATAGTTTTACATATTGCACATACACATGAATAGTCTATTGTTGAATGCAAGGCATACGGAGATAAGGTATGTACTATGCCGATGTGAAAACCATCCCCTAAACAACAGATAACAAGTATGTTTCAGGCCATTTTTCTCTGTTCTTTATGTATTTTGCCCATTATTCCCTATTCTCTATTTACTTTTCCTATTTTTTCTCTCTTAATTTTTTTCGCCTTTTATTCTGCACTTTTCCCCATTATTCTCTATTCTGTAAACCTCATCAAGGCCTTTATATTTCACTTTTCTATTCCAGGCACAATGAAAATGTACAACTTTATTCGGAAAGACCTTGACATTCCATTCTACTGTGGACAAAATGGCATCGATTCATGGTTGCGAAAAATCCTACAGTCCATACAGAGCAGAGAGATAGAAGTTGTGCTCGAGGAGATATTTACACCTATCGTGAACACAGATGACATGAACGACAAAATGTAAAGTGTGACCAAGTAGTCTGTCTTGCAACTAAATACATTTGTATAAAAAATATTTAAAGGTTGTTTTAAACGAAAAAGACATTTTTTGTATTGACCATTATTCATACATTAATAATATTTGTATTTATGGAAGGTTGGCTAGATATAAAAAAAATCTTTCATCTTTCATTTTAAGTGAATTATGTGGGATGTAGATAAGAAATTGGGATGCTTATGATTTTCAATTTACTTGTAGGCATTATTAATTTGTGTATCACCTATTAAAGTAACTTGAAGGAAAGTAGGCCACTACAGTTAAACAAATGACATTGCAAATCTTAGCAATCCGTTATGGAACGAAAATATTTTAGAGTTTATAAGTTGTATCATTTGAATATTAGTTCGAATAATGGATAATAAATATCTATACACATATATATTTTTTCTCTCAAAATTATGTGATGCAAATATGGTTATGCCATGTTACCCTGTTTCGGTACATTACATTTCCTTCATAATATAAATAAATGACAGATTATTATATATTTCAGTAAGTTCAGTTTAATATAATAATCTTTTATTTGATCAAATTTTGAAATTTATTCAAAAAGAATTTCAACTAAATTTCTGAACTATCTACCTTACCTCAGTATGCCGTATTCTAAGTTCAGATACTTCGTGAAGAAAATGCAGTGTCAAATATTTCAAGTATTTCAATTCGCGAAGTTAAGAAGAAAGACACCCTGTTTTGAGCTACAAATAGAGGAATACATTCTTTAAAGTTTATTTCAAAACTTTTACTTGTAATTTTTATATTGGGAAATTGTGTTATAGACTGGGTCACGTGAAGTTATGTATTTGTGATAATCAATTGTGTATATTTGTAACATATGCCTTTTGTTCATACTAAATAAATATCAAACAATTACACAAATGTAAATTAATATGTTTTAAAATGATTATTAATGAAATAAATGATTATAACAACTTACTATGTAATAATTCATACACCATTTTTGTTGTTGTCTTTTAGGATTGTGCCTGATATTCATAGGATGAAGACATAATCTTTCAATGAGTTTAATTGAGGTCTGGAGCTGGCATGTCAGTAACTGCTAGTAGTCTGTTATTATTTATGTATTATTGTCATTTTGTTTATTTTCTTTTGTTTCCTATTCTGACATCGGACTCGGACTTCTCTTAAACTGAGTTTTACTGTGCGTACTGTTGTACGTTTGTTTTTTTCTACATTGGCTAGAGGTATAGGGGGAGGGTTGTGATCTCAAAAACATCTTTAGCCCCGCCGCATTTTTGCGCCTGACCCAAGTCAGGAGCCTCTGGCCTTTGTTAGTCTTGTATAATTTTTAATTTTAGTTTCTTGTGTATAATTTGGAGTTAAGTATGACGTCCATTATCACTGAACTAGTATACATATTTGGTTAGGGGCCAGCTGAAGGACGCCTCCGGGTGCGGGAGTTTCTCGCTGCATTGAAGACCCATTGGTGGCCTTCGGCTGTTGTCTGCTCTATGGTCGGGTTGTTGTCTCTTTGACACATTCCCCATTTCCATTCTCAATTTTATTTTGTACTGTCAAAGTGTAAAATATGATACATGTAATATGATAAGTGGTTTCATAGTTTAGTTTGGTTTGCTCTCATTGATACATACCCTGACTCTTTTTTTCACATTGTAACTCATATACATGTATACCATTTCACCTTGTCGAAAATAAAACTTTACAGAGATTGTGCCTAAACATTGACTAGAAGAAAATATCGGATCCATTATCATACAGATTTTGACGTGTAACTTTTCGTATTCAAGATTCAAGATAACAATTCGATAGCTTACGTTAAACCTAGCGATACTAGATAATTTCATTCATTGATAGAAGAGATAACATGCATTAAATTACTGAGATGCTGAATTTTGTACTCACAGACAACACAAGCCCGAAAAAGCCAGATGACTTAAAAAAGCTTTTTACAATGCGAAAATTGAAACAATTACACCTTACAATTATATTGATTGTTATGGACCTTCAACTATTTCCACGAAAAAGACAAAAAATCTAAAAGAGGAGAACTGTTTTGCCCGTCGCTTCTTCACTACCAGAATGATCAATCAGTATGACTGTAATTGTAGGCTTGCCGGAACAATGTTGTTTGTTATTCTCATTTTTCACTCATTTGGTAGGATCATCTCGAGAAAAGTATGGTATGAAAAGCAAAAGGAGTACGAAATCGTTTACCCTGGATACGTTTAATGCTTCTAGTATGATATACATTACTAAGCATAAACAATATAAAACAGTTACGTCAAATAGCGTTTTATGTTGAATCACACATAGAAATGCGTATATGAATAATTCATGAGTGATGTTTTAAGGGGATTTCCTATTAGTTTATCGTTTAAATCTTTAAATTTAAAAGTTCAAACCAGTAACTATTTTTAAGGGCACGCTTACATTTTTATTTTCTTTATCAGTCTCCATCGTTATCAGGTTTAATTTAAATAAGAAGATGTGGTATGATTGTCAATGAGATAACTCTCCACCAGAGATCAACTGACGTGGAAGTTATCACCTATACGTCATCGTGCGGATTTCAAAAATGAGCAAACCCATATTGTCTATTTCAAGTGAAATACACATTAAGTGGTATACAATTATTCGAATAATATAAAAATAACTGTTTAAAAATAATCTTTACAACAAAGCAATGTTGATACATATGCTGTTAGTATATGTATATACACGATCTATTAATAATATTTTAAGTTGGGTCTATGACTACCACCGAATACGACTTATGAACGCAATTATACGTTGCAGGTCAATACAAGCTTATTCTTTAGGAACATCTAAAATCCTCCCCAGATGTTATTGTTGGTTATCTTACTTAACTCTTTGTTTTTATGTTATGAACTGTTGTTTGGAATTGTTTGGTTTTTTGTATCTTGTCTTCATTTGGTCAACTTCGTTTTTGCCCCTCTGGTATATTGTATATTTCGAGACCTAGCTAGTCATACACATTACTATAACTTTCAGAGTATGGCCAAGTCATGTGAAAAGAAGGATGAAGGTAATGATTTAAAGGAAGATGCACAAGCTCCAGACGGAGGATGGGGATGGATTGTACTCGTAGGTTAGAATACATATTATACAATTGATTGAAAAAAGTTGAATATTTTCAAATAATATAAAGATAATTTTTAGTGATATCAAACTGAATATCATTAAGATTAACGTTACTTCATTGTCGTTTCTACAACTGGTGTAAATTCGGCACATATATATATATACAATGTATGAGGGTTTGGGTGGGGTTTAAATAATATAGAATAATGGTCAAAAAGTGCAGAATAAAGGGCGAACAAATCACAGAATAGACAAAAATAGACAAAAAAGATAAAGAATAGAGAATAATTTGCAAAAAAAATAAAGAATGCAGAAAAATGGTCTTATAAATTAAAGATAAAAACATGAAGGACCCCATCCAGACCCTCATATATATATATAAAACTCATCGACGATACCAGGCTTACAATTGTTAAAAGGAGGTGATATTTCATCTGATTATAGTATTGATGTAAATAAATAAATAACATGGAAGCTATGTGAATTATACAATATTAAATTGTTAATTAAATTGATCTACGATTTTGAAGACGTCTCAATTCGTTTCTGGAATAGAATGGATGACTTTTGAGTGCAGTAATACATTTAAAACCAATCATTATGCATTTAAACTAGGAAGGAAGCATGTAAATATAACGAAATATTTGAAGCTGTGTGCAAAATCATATAACATTTACAACTGTTCTATCTTCATAAAATTTGTGTACTTACTATGCATACACATTTATTACATTTAAAGGTGCAGTGTTATTGAACCTTTTGATCGGCGGTGCTGTGACTACGTTTGGTGTATTATACGTTGAATTGTTGGACTTATTCCACCAGAATGCAAGTAAAACAGCTTGGGTTGGTTCCGTGGCTAACGCAATGGGTTTACTTTTCAGTAAGTTATTTTTCTTTATTGTATAAATAAAAAGAATAGTGCAGTTTGTTTTTATATAATAGTATGTTAATATATAAAAATCCAAAACCAACGTTAGATGTATACTATTTGAATTACTGTCTTTTAACAATTTTCGAACGCTTTTTAACGTATTTATTCGGTCTTGTCATTTCAAAAAAACTATTGTGGCCTCGAGTATCACTAACGAGACATTAATTGTATACGTAGTTCAAAAGATGACATATTTGTCAATACATGTAATGATATGTTTAAGGCATTTTGTATAAACGAGTTTCCCCCCATCACCCCGCAACAAAAATGGAAACAATAAGTTATAAATTTCATGTGCCCGAAGCGCTTTTCTAGATTTACATTCATCAGGAACGCGCAAAGTCGAATATTCAACAGCCAAGGATGTATAAAAACCGTACGATGGAAATTTATTGAAGCTAAAAGTGTTAGCATTGTAAAATATTACACTCTTCTATACAAACACGATAAATAGAAATCTTCTGCAAAACCTTAGCTTGAGTTATTGATTTTTTTAAACACAGTTTACAAGCAAAATGTCTTACGATCAGGGGTCCTCGGTGGCCAAGTGGTCTAAGTAGTTCTACTACTGTAATCACTAGCCAGTCAACACTGAGGTTGTGAGTTCGAACCCCGCTCGTGCGGGTGCACTCGACTCCAATCTTAATTGACTAGGATTGTCAGTTTTCCTATCGAAGGTCGGTGGTTTTCTCCGGGCACTCCGGCTTCCTCCACCAATAAAAACTGGCCGCCACGAAATAGCCCAAAAGTGGCGCTTAAAAGTGGCGTTAAAACACCAACAATCAATCAATCAATCTCACGATCATCACTATGTAAAGTACATGTAGTATATGAGAAACATCCTCCGTAAACAAATCATTTAATACTTTTCAGGTCCTGTTGCCAGTGCGATGAGCACAAGGTTTTCCTGTCGCGCAATGGCTTTAGTCGGTGGTGTGATTACGTCCATTGGTTGGATTACAACAGGATTTATGCCTAAAATAGAGTATATGTTTATAACTTACGGTCTTGTAGCAGGTAATTTCAATGTTTGTGGTACTTATAGTACTTTCATCTTGGTTGATGACAATAATTCGTTATACCAATAAGGCGTATGTAATATTGTTTTTTAATAAAATACCAAAAGGGATAATTAAAAATCAAAAGTCACAGAAAAAACGACAATATTATAATGGCAAAAAAAACCCCAAAAAACAAAAAAACAACCCTGAAATATACGACGAAAAGAAATACAAAACACTTCAAAGAAAACTAAAGACTGAGCAATACGAACACCAGCAGAAAGTGGTAATGATCTCAGGATGCTCCGAAATGGTAGGCAGATCCTGCCTGAAATTTGACACTCGTCGTGTTACTCATGGAAATTATAAAAACATTCATATTAAACATAGTTGAAATAAACCGCGTTACTTAAAAGTTTCGAATATGTTTATATTTTGAAACATGTTCATTTAGCAATAAAATGTGATCTTTATGTAAATAAACTCATCATAGATATCAGGATTAAAATTAATAAACATATATCATATGCATTCATTTAGGTATCGGAAAGTCAATGGCAAACATTCCAAGTATTATAATGGTAGGGAGATGGTTTGATAAAAGAAGATCGCTGGCTAATGGTCTTGCCACGGCTGGGGCAGGAGTAGGAACGTTTATCTTTGCACCACTTTTAGAATTTCTCTTGAGGAAATACGGTTTCCAAGGAACAATGCTAGTTATGGGCAGTGTTATGCTAAACATTTGTGTTTGTGGATCTTTATTTCGTCCAGTCCCCAAATATACCAAACTCAAAGGATCTAGTTTGACGGGAATTCCAAATAAAGTATTTACAATAGATGAATCGACTGATTTCTCGATGGCTGCTGAAGTCAGGATTCCACAAAAGACAGTAAATGGAAGTTCTAATAAAATTACAACAACAAACTCAATTAATGACACAAAATGTCGACAATCAAATAATAACGAAAACAAACCTTTAAAAAGCTATTTAGATTACACATTACTGACAAATCAGCGTTTTATTTGTTTTTGTATGTCTGTTATGTTAGCAACACTTGGTCACTCACCTGCATCAATCATGTTACCTGCTTTGGCAATGCAATTCAATATTAGATCAAAGGAAGCAGCCTTTTTATTGTCAATAACTGGGATAGCGGATATAGTAGGACGTATAACATTCGGTGTGTTGTGTGACGTCAAGCTGTTTAAGAAGAATCGACAGACCTTGTATGTGTTTGCTATTTTCATTAGTGGTGTTGCTAACATGTGTTGTGGATTTGCTAGCGAATATTGGCACTTTGTGATATATTCGTGTATTTTTGGGTTATTTGCCGGCTCTTATAATGTTTTGACGCCAGTTATTTTGGTGGACCTTCTTGGAGTAGAGAATCTGGCAAGCTCATGTGGCTTGGCTCTGTTGTTTCAAGGTCTTGGATTCCTCGTTGGCCCCCCTATGGCAGGTAATTATAATTGTAACATTTTATTTCAAATTATAGTGAAAGAACTTAACAATACAGGTGCTTTAAACAAATATTGTGATCATTATCATGTAAATATATTAATCGGCAGTATTGACTAAAGCCTGCTTCCAAAGTATTGATTGCTTTAGTCTTTACTGCTGTTTTTATTTGCTTGCTTTGATACAGTATTGCAATGGTAAACTAACTTTTGACTTTTTTTACATGTATAAAACTGATTTATTCAAAAAGTAAAATAACAAAAATACCGAACCCCAAGGAAAATTCAAAATGGAAAGTCCCTTATCAAATGGCAAAATCATGTGTATTCAATCGAATTATGTACTATTTTTTCTTTTACAGGATTTGTGACCGACATGTTTGGCGACTATCAATCCGGATTTTACTTTGCAGGAGTTGCTATGGTTATCAGTTCTATTGTTGTCAATCTCTCGACTTTTTGTACTCTTTGTACGACACTAAATAAAGACAGTAAAAATTACGAAATAAACAGAGCTGACAAAGTAGAAAATGAGTCAGGAAATGACATTAATGTAGTTGAACACATAAAGAATGAAACGAAGAGATCATCAGATATAACGATGATTAAGTTACATGTAAGAAGTGTTTGACATATGACAAATCGTAGTAATGTTATTTATCGTATTAATGATAAAAGAATTTATATTTATGCACTGGGCATTTGTGCAATGCATGGATTATAATGTATGTGTGCAATTTTGTTGTGTTGTCTTTTGATATGGTAGTCCTGGGTTGAGAGAGTACACTTTTAAACCAGTGATGTGTTTGTAATAGAAACTAGCATACATCATCTATAAGCATTCATTTGACATAATTAAATTATATGTGCTATTGTGTCATAGATTCATACGAGCTTTGTTCCTTGTCCAACGCTACCTGGTTAAACTGTAAAAAAATTTGGGATGGATGAACTTAACACGATAGTTTCATGAAATATAAACATGGGAAAATATAACTAAATATGTAAAGTTAACGTTATCAACGACAAACACATAAAAAGAGAACACATCATTTTGGTGTATATGGCTACGATATTGCTAATATTAATAGGTCCATTGGATTTACGATGAGATTATATGATTAGTCATTGATATTGATATGACACAACATTTTACAACCGGTTACATAACATTAATTAATTAAGATTTTATGAAAAATTTAGGTTGCAGCTAGATAAGGTTACGTCTACCGTATAACATCTTTGATATTTTGTTTAGGTTCTATTGGCATTGATTTTTTCAAACATTTCATGTTCTTTGCTTCCGAAACGTTTGGTCTCGTGTGTTTGTGTATACACGTTATTCTACAATGACGGACACGTGCACGGATTCATATGGGGTAATTTACTCAATGCAAATTATTTCATAACACATGTTAAGTCAAAGTAAACGAAATAACGTAAAGCAAAATTAAAAGAATAAACTTTGAAATAACAGATAATATCGGAAAACGCATTGGAATCAAAATTATTAACACTTCTTTCAAATCACGGCTGGACTTTGACGGCAGAAGACCTGATTACAGTTATTGAAGCTACCACTCTCTCTTCTATTCGATGATGTTTTCCCGAACAAAAAGGAATACCAATTTATGTCTATTTATTGCACATTCAATTAATAATATTTTCATGAGGTAATATACTGCTCAATTATATCAAGATAATGTATATATATATCAATACAATTTCAACTTCAGATAAAAACAACTGGTGTTTTCCCCCGTAGAGGAAACTGGAATGCTAATGATAAATAACCTAAAGTAATGTAATAGTTGATAAACAAATATTTCCAAAACGAAGTAAAAAATAACAGCTGATAGCTCTATATAGTCACAATGAACATAGGTCTTACAATCTGTTTTCTTGTTAAATTTCAGGTGTTCTTCTATTATTTTTTTTACTTTTGTCAGTGGTATAAATTATATATATTTTGTTCCTTTACAGCCTTAAAAATTCTTCGCTAAAGCTAAATTAATAGTATTTTCTTTGTTTAGTGAAAATGAACAAAACCTATTTACAAATGAATGATAGATCTAATGGTATAAAATTTGCGATTTACAGGACTAGATAGATGGGTTTCGTAACCATTTAGATCTCCTTCAAACTCTTGAAGGATCCGTGACACCTCACTACTTAAGTCATCATATTGTTTCTCAACCAGATCGGGTGAGTTACTTCTTGGGTAGTCAGGTGGCGGTTCATTTGTAAGATTAGATGTCATCACGGGTGTACTTGTCTGTTGTTTACTTTCTTCTTTCGTCATCACATATTTTTTCAAACAACGTCCACCTGATCCTTCAAATGCACTGTCCCCGCTATCACTGTCTTGGTGTTTTAATTTACACCACTTCTCACCGTCTTTGTTTTTTGCGGAATATGTTTGTTCGACGAAAACACAAGGATCTACATATTGTGAAGGTGTTGTCATTACAATCCAATTTTTAATTCTTTCCTTGTCGTCAATTGGCTTTGTTGCGTTCAGTCCAAACGTGTCCAAATCCGATTCTATTATTTCTTGAGAAAACAGTTTTGACTGTGTTTGTTTTTGAAATGCAGTTTCTCGTTGACTCATGTAGTCAGGAAGTGGCTCCAAAATAATATCCTTTGATAATTTTCTGACAGGTAATTTTTCAACTAAATTCTGTAATAAAATGAACTAAAAGCTATTGATAATTGCAAAGTAAATACATGTACAAGTGTTTTTGTTTGTTTTGATTTAGCCATTTAGTGATGTTTTAGATTCACATGTATTATAATTCGAAAGTTTTTATAATTTTGAATGAAAGTATAAAAACAATATCTCCAATGAAGTAAAGGCCTTATCAAAATACTTCAATAGTTTACAGTGATAAAACCATACCCTCGGCTGCTCTGAACACAACGTTTATGGAATTGATCAAAGAAAATCAATATAATCTGTCATAATTTATATGAGTAGTTCAAACTAAATATTATGAAGAGGGAGATATATCATTCAATCTCAACCTTTTTCATTAATCGAATATTAAAACGTTTGATACCAAGTTTTCTCTTTTTGAAAAGTTTTTGCGTCTTTATCATTAAATATCTTCTTGCAATTAGGAGCAGATCTTCGCTATAACTACTACATCTTGTTCTTACATGTACATTGTACATTAGTATCACTGTTATAGCAATTGAGCGTCATAACGTTTGAACAGCATGAGTGTTAACTCTTGAATTAATTTTGACATCCTTTTTGGATTAAAAAAACCCACATTAAATTTGAAGAGAGTTGGTCGAACGGTTCTAAAGGACAAGTACATAAATAAATAAATAAATAATTTTTATTTTAGAAGGATAATCCCATTAGTTAAAAAACTAATCTTCCTAAGAGTCCTCAAAATAATAATAACATATGAATAATATACATACAATATTTTAATGATATATACACAATATACAATTTTATATAGATATTAATGAAAAAACATATTAATCTGCCTTCTTCATGACATTTTCAATCAATGCATTGTCAAGGTTATACAGGACTCCCAATTTTAGAAACACGATTTTAAAAGGAAAATTATTGGTTCAATGGTACGTATTTTAACACAAAAAACAGTTTGGACAAACAGCCGCACTACCCGAAATTCCAGATTTTGTCTGGCAAACCGGTTACATAGCATTTTATTATCAGGTTGCATAGGGTAACAATCTGCTTTTCCAATCTTTCAGCGCTGTGTTATTTGATTTATTAAATTCAGTGTTCTGATTTTATTTTCTTTAAAATGTTAAATTAAAATTATTGAACTATGACGTCATGTACATAACAACCATCCATATTTGATAAAGTGTACAACTGATCAAGTGTCTCTGTGAAGGTAATGGATTATAAGCCATGGGAGAGAGTAGAATAGTTCCCCCATATTAGCCAATCAAAATCTGTCATTTTAATGTGTAATGTAATAAAACAAGAAAACTCCTGTCCAAAAAAGGGCATTAAATAGAATAAACGGGATCACTTTACTACACCGGATTGCGCATATGGACAACCAACATCTCTTAAGTGATATTCACATAACCAAATAATGAAATTTCGTGAATGTATTTCAACGTTGAATTCAAAATACTTTTGCTCTGGCAAATTGTTTTTTTTCTTCAGCTGACAAACCCGCATACAATACAAACCATCTAATTTTTAAATGTGATTCTAGGTTAACACAACTTACACCATTTATATGTATATAGAAATGTTTTTATCCCGAAATATGAAAACCGAAAACATACCTCAAAGCGTGCTGCAAACGTATTTATGTTTGCTAGCAGGTCTGCTGGTTCTATTGTTTCTTTGTTTTCATTGCAAAGGACGCAAACATCACTAAAAAGTTTGTCCATTTCTTGAAAATGTTCATAAAAAGAATTAAATCGGCTGCACACTAAATAGTGAGTTTTCTGAATAAAACTTAAGGAACGAAATGATGTACATGATTTAATATTATATATGTAAATATGTCAAATAGTCTCATTTATTATTTGAAAAAATACATGTATACTGCATAAATATAAATAATTTGCTAATAATATTATATTTTTGCTTACGTTTTTTTAAAAATTAAAATAAAACATATATGTCTACCTTTTATTTTCTGAAATAATAAATGCTATGCTTAATACTATTTTTAAATCGTTTGTTTACACTATTGTCACTAAGTGCGTACTAACCTGTCTGAAAAAACTAATATAAATTAATTGATCATATGCAAAATAAAGGATACACTTAGTTCTTCTGATGGACATTTTAACTGTTCCGTTTCGATGGCCGTGATTCCACGTTTTGTTTCATCTATAAAGGGCTGAAAGCTTTTGATGGAAACTGAAATTCGAAACACAGGAAAACATGCAAAGGTAAAATACCTTTATATTAATGTTGTGTAGACTATATAAAACTGCTGTCATACATCCGCATATATCACTACACGTATTCAAATCAAGTATGTTCACTGATCTGTTTCACAATAACAAGCTTCGTATGTCATACATTGATAGTATAAATAAATAAACTAAAAAGTAGAAGCAAATAAAACAATAAGCAGGATTTTATAATATCTTCAAAAATGACTTTTTAACCTATATTTCAAAAAATTGTGAAAAGAAATGCGGTAATTAGCGGACAAAGCTGTTAATGGCACTACATAAGATAAAAGGATTCCGAATGTATGATAACAAGATCAGCGAACATCCTAAATAACGAAATATATCACTGTTTTCTCCAAGATGACAATCATTCTGCTAAATTACAAACATATGTCTTATTGGCACTCATACCACATCTTCTTATTTATATATATAATTAATATGTCCTCTTTATTTTATATCCTTGTTTAATTCGAAATAAGTCAAGTATCGGGAAATATCATAAACCTGGAAACTGAACTGAATGTGCATGCATATACACATGTATGTTACTGTCTAACCAAACAGTGTCATATTTTTGTTCTCTCTGGAAGGTCAGTTAGCAACCTTTTTTTATACTTTATTGCAATATAATATCCTATTCAACTAATATACAGCTTAATACTCTCTCAACTGTAACTTAGTTAAACTTTCCCATGACGAATAGAAGGACAATTGAGAAATGAACTAAAATGTATAACTAAACGTAATTTGTAATTGTGTATGTCAACTATTACCTTTTTCGTCTATCTCAAATGATATATCTTTGTACCAGTGCAGTAAATGTGGATGTGTGCTACATATTTCCTCAACTATAGTCTCCAAAATATTCCATTTAGTAGGTTCCAGGCATGTTGAATCCAACTGTAAAACAACAAACATTTGTTTTTATTATTGAATTTTATTTTACCTGTCTTTTCCATTTAAAATAAAGATTGACGTTGGTTTTATTAAACGGGATATAATATATTAGACTGTTGAAAACTTAGATATTATTCAAATAAATCAAACTGAACTAACATAATCAATTATGCTTGAAAAAAAAGTGTTCATTAAATCATTTAGTTGTTCCGGTTTTGTTGTTTACATGTATATTTATGGGCTTAGTTTATCATTGAAGGTCATACGGTGACAAGTACCTGTAAACATCCTCCTACTAATTCATATGTAAGACAGTTGTCTTATGGTAAATCGTTCATTATGTCTTATTTGACATTCAACAATAGAAAGGTGGTACTACATATATAATATATATATCAAATATGTATATAATTTAATATAATTGTTTAAATAAAAAGGAAATATATTTTGTATTCTATAGTATACTCTTTGGACTTACTTCTATTAAAAATGATAATTTAAAGTCTAATGGTGTAGCGTAGAAATTGTCTACCATGTAATCTTTTATTATCTGAAAAAAAAGAAAGTTCCACTTGCATAATAATTAACCGTGTAGTTACTCATATCAAAAGTGAAAATAAAGAGTAAAGAGAAACACAAACTAAATTGACTAAGGAACAATGTAATCAAACAATATGACTAAAGTTCAAACATAATGTTAGTTTTCTTATCTATGCTTGTTGTATGCATGTTCTTTGAGATTTTAATCATAATGGTAAGTCAAGGGTTTACATTTGCTATAATTTCATTGTCCTTAGATTAATAATAAAAATAAGAAAATACTATCGAAGCAGTTAAACAGAACAGCTCTTTCTACAAAACAAAGAAAGCCAAACAATGTCTTTTGTAGAGGAAACGCTTGTCTGGTGTATACAATTATAATCCTGATATTTTTGACGAGCTTGTCGTCTGTTGTAAAACTACAGACTCACTCTTCTACTTTTAAAATTTATTTTTTGTTATTAATAATTAGAAATTGGTGTATTCTTGACTAAATGTACGCATGGCTTCAGATTTAGATTTGTTTGCATAAAATAAATCATGTAAAAATTGGGTCAACCTTTTCAAAACGATATTCTGAAATCGCGTACTATTCTGTACAGATCAGCGCATGTGTGCATGGTGAGAAACGCAAGGTCATAAAATTGGTAGACTGTATTCCCATCCCACATTAAGGACCAAAAAAGTGTAAAATATCAAAAAAACCGAACTCCAAGGAAAATCTAAAACGGAAATTCCCTTAACAAATGGCAAAATCAAAAAGCTCAAACACATCAAACGAATATGTCCGTAGAAAGCGGGATTGAAGTATTTCAGCTTGAGATGAAATATTGTTAATATCATACCACTTTAGTACATATTATATTAGAAAATTATAATAAATAATCTTTAAAGACATGACACTCACCTGAAGTAAACTCTTAAAGTGTTTAAATTCGATAACGGTTTTGCAGCACTCCTTTATTTGGCTAACTTCCTGTAAAATATGCAAGTGGCATATCGTTTACAATGATAAAACAGTTCTACAAGTATTTTAGGAAACCAATGTATGAAATGGCAATTCTGATTTGGACACTTTTGGAAAGAAATGAATTACTCCTGTCAAGTTTGGGGAACAGTCAGTTGTGTTCTTTTTCTTTTGCTTATAATACTTGAAGATGTGCTAAGTCACTTGCCATCCGATTCAATATGTTATGTTGAATACATTTAAATAACCAAATGCATTTAGTATTTTAAAACGATTTAGGTATTTTAGTTCCCAAACAAAATGTTCACGAGAATAATATGAAAAAAGGGATGCGGGATTTTTCTAAAAGATATGTTGTTTGCACTGAAATAAGTATCAACATTAACAAAAACCACTAAGTCAGTTCTACTACAGGTGTACAAGGTTCACAGGAACATCTGTTAACGATTGATTTGGTGGTCCTTTTTGATTAGCCTTTTTTTTTCTTCCCCTTTGTTTTGATTCAAATGAAAGTTCTATTACGTTAGTATCAAGCGTTTTTCGTGTAGTATTTACCGGGATTTATAACATACGTACATACATTCATATTGTGATCGACCGCAAATTCAAAAAAGGAAAAGATGATAACAAATATGTTAAATCAACAGGTTTACAATTTTATTTACAATTAAAAAACGAATAAAAAAAGCAACAAACAATGGCCTTATATTACGATAAAGCCAAAGCTAACTTGAGATTTACTTGTGATATGATTGCATGACTTCCATGAAGTACAATGCTTTTCTTACCTGATACTTTCTATCAACTGTTTTCTGATATTGGTCCACAAATTGCATGATATTTAGCTTTTCTTCTAAGCGTTCCACAGCCATCATCTATCAAACATTAACTTATGTGAACAATTGTTTTATTTTTTACACTGAACACTTATCTTCCATTTCTTTCATTTACAGATTTAGACATCTATATACAGTTATACGTCTAATGTTTGCCTCACAATGTTTTGTTTGTTTTTTTTTATCGTAAAAGATAAAAAAATAAGGATAACATAATTGTTTTTAAATTTCAACACAAATATTAAAATGACAAAAGTTTGTTCTTCATGTGTGTTGATTGACTTGGTTTAAAAAAGAAGCGAAAGATACCCAAAGAGACTTTCAAACACATAAGTTGAACACAAACTGACAACGCCATATCAAAAAATAGAAAAGGACCTTAAAACAAACAACAGTACACAAAACACAAACTAAAACACTAACATGACTAAAAACTGCAACATGTTATGAAATTAAATATTTGAAAGTTATAAAGGCACAACATGTTGTCTGTGCTACTGTTGTAAAAGAATGTTAATCCAGTCGTTTCATATAGTATGGGTTTAGAAGGCTTTACGTCGACCTTTAGTTGCTGATATCCATGACCAATGGTCTCTGGTGGAAATATTTTTTATTTGTTTTTGTAGTTTATTTTTTTCTAGCACATACTGTCATAATTAACTAACCTGTACAAGAAACTGTTCTGCTTCTCCAAGATTTTCTAAATCGCATTCAAGGGTTAAAATATTTCTCATCTAGAAAAAGAAATTTCTTTCGTAGTTTTTTGTATAAGATAAATTTGTTACTCGGGAAAAAGATGTTATTGCTCATTAATCAGATCTCCATCCAATATCCTTTTCTATCTAAGTGCAACGAAATAAATACATATGCATAACAACTTTAAAGATACAAGTTTTCGAAAAACAAATAGTTGAACATAGAAGGTTCTGCAAACATGTCGCACGATATGGTAATCCAATGCAGCATTCTGTCATACATGTGTATCACAAATCTTTGGATCAAAGTTGCTGACAAAAAAGCAAAAATGTAGATAACAGCATACCACCCAACTCTATTGAGAAGGCATATAAAAGCGAGCCTGCACGTAAGAAAATAATATAAGTTCTATCATATACTAATTAATACAGATATTGATAAGACAATTCATTGCTCAACAAGAGTTGCTTTTCAATTTTCTAGTCAAGTTAGGTTATATTTTTAAAAAATCTTTTTTTTTTGCATAGCTGGAGTATCTTTATTCTCTGTTATCCATATTTCAAGACCAGTTCCAATGATCTTAATTTAGTGAATGCTGTGGACAAATTTTGTCTTTTAACTGCAATTTTGTAGCTTCAAGAGTAAAAAATGTTTAATGTTGACGGACTAATTTAAGCTTTTCAACTGTTTCATTTTCTCTTCAGTATCTTGTACTTTAAAAACACAGAAAATTTAGGAGTTACCTCGTTTTCAGTTGGCAAAAGTTCAAATAATGCCTGGACATTTTCGGTTGCTATGTCCTCTATATCATACGACTGTACACATTCCACAATTATCTCTGGTGGCAATCCTATTTCTTTTTGTATTTGCGCTATAATTAAGGAAAATAGAAAAAAAATTAAATATAACATTCATGTTAGACAAAGACACATGTTTAAAACAATCATTAAATAAAAATGGATGGTATCAGTTGTCTGAATTACACTCTAACATTTGAACAATTGACTCGGTAATCAAACTAACGAAACACGAGGTTATGCTTGGAATACCAGTAACGATGGTAACAAATTCTAGACCGGAATACCAGTAACGGTGGTAACAAATTCTAGACCGGAATATCAGTAACGGTGGTAACAAATTCTAGACCGGAATACCAGTAACTGTGGTAACAAATTCTAGACAAATGGTATGCGAGTATCATACAAGTACGAATGCATTTAAAAAAATTTTTTTTTTAAATGGATCGAAAAATGTATGATATTGATTTTGTGAAAATGTTGTAATTTATTTGTCCATTTAATTTTTTTAAGACATTTTTTTCACTATTGTGTTCATCTCCTCTCTCTTTTAGATTCTAATAAAAATTCTCTAAAAACCACTTACAAAATCTGTCTGCTCTAGTCTTCTCAATAAAAGTTATTTTTCCACTGTTAGTTTTGTTCCGTTCTCCACCTTCAGTTCTCGGTTCAATGTTTTGGTTATAGTCATGTTTCGGGTCACTATTTTCGGAATTCAATGTCTATAAAATATTAAACAAATTACTGTTTTCATTAAATCTACAAACCAGTATTTCAAAGCTTTAAGGGGGTACCAAACACCTTGACTAAAAGTAATTTGGCTCGTTTAATTTTTATAAAATTTTGACAAAATATTTACTGTGACCCTTTGACAAAAATATAAAAATTCAAAAAAACTTGAACCACACACTTTATCGGAAAAATTTCATTGGATATATAGCAGTTTGACAAACACTAATTTTGGTCATTATGAAGCTTAATATTTCCTTAACAATAGAACGTGATTAAAATGTTCAGCTGATTTTTACAGAGTTATCTCCCTGTAGTGTTATGTACCACCTTAAATTACTATGTAATTCTCTTTCTTAAATTAAGCCAAATGAGATGTGTTATATATGGTTTTAGACCATCAAATAAAACAAATGCTCAGTTACTTCAGACAAAAAAAAATCATAGGACAAATACAGAACGAGTACAAAATGATGATGAGGACAAGATAATTGCGAGTTTTACAGAAATTATGAAGCATTTATAAGGGAAGCCATAGTATGAGCATTGGGTTAATATTAATAATGGCTTCAAAAATACCAACAATATAAAAGTACAGCTAAAGACCAATGATACGTTTAACTTAGTGTCATGCAGAACATATATAAGAGAACAGGCATCGTCATATATACATTATAGAAAAGGAATATATATATATATTCTTCTTAAAAATAAGACTTTTTAAAGGTCCAGCAACGAACGACCAACGATATTTACCAAATCGTGTGTTTTGATATGACTGTTCAAAAATAAAAAAAAATTATACTGAAAACAAATTTTAAAACATAAGCTAAATGATATCAGACTATTTGCATGTATAATTACAAGAAACGTCAGTTATGATCTGTACAGTTACATTGGGTGCCTATTAATTTTCGTTGAACCTGTTGTACTGAATGTAGAGACATTGTAATTACTTTGTTTTTTATAATTAGTAACAATTAAAACGCCCAGTGACCTCGTTTTATGCACTTGTTCAAAAATGCACCAACCAATTAATATATTTTAAGGGGTATGCATAATCATAATACTAATGTAGTCAAATTTGTGTAAATGTTGTTAACAATGGAAAAACTCACCATGCAATGTAGATGGCAAGCAAGATATTAACTTTAAACTTACTTTGTACGATAATGGCACAATGTTGTTTTTAGATTGTCTTTTTAAAACAGGAAGTGGATGGCCAGATTTTCGCCAGTTGCGATTGCTTCCCCGGCGTATGATTGGTTGATTTATTACACGTGGCTCCAGATCAGGATTGGATGTTTCTTGTTGAACTAGAACACATTTAAAATTATCACATTAATAACAAACTAGATGTGTCGGAACGACAAGAATGGCCCCGTTCGCAAAACAAGCTTGGGGCCATTTTTAGATGTAAAAATTCGAGAATGAAAGTCTGTATAACTGTTATTTTCACGAAATTTTCAAAGTCCAAAGCCCGTAATTTCAGCAAAATTCAATGGTGCGGAACAAAACGTAAACTCGATCTGTAACTCATCATTGCAGACTCACATACTTAAAATTTGCTCAACATGCGAAGACATTTATAAAAAAGGTCCGTATAACTTTTCGTTGCGGAATAACGGATAAGGGTCAAACTTAGTCTTTATGGCCCCGACAACTTTGTTGCGGAGCCATAAAAAGTCCTGATTACTGCATAGTACAAATCTGTTTGTAGTAATAGTAGGATTTCGTCTTTTTAACATGCTAGAGAATGACGTCCAATTTGCAGTGCGGGATGTATAAATACGCAGCCACGTCCGATCAGAATGGGGACGTTCAATCCGATGACTTATGTAGGTATGTATAAATACGTAGCCACGTCCGATCGGATTAGTGACATCAAAACCAAATTCTTTAAAAAGCATACTGCTACGTTCTTTCCCAATAAAAAATCATTAAAACAATTGTGTTATGGTTAACGTTGGTAAGTGGCTTGTTGCAAGACATAATTTCTGCCCCTAAGGCTATCCAGCAAAGTAATATCCACATTTTTAAGGAGTAGACTTAATTTTCCACCTTATATATCCATTTTGCAGAATTCTTAATTTTGCTCTCGTCTAAATATATACGAAGTATTTGCCACTAGTCATTAAGCAAACAACATTCAATCGTCCAGAAATATGCTTGAAATATTTGCCACTGTACAAAAACGAAAGCACAATTAGTCAGTCAATTAAAACTACAATTATTCAAGATTGGGTTATACACACGTGTGTTTTGTTTCATTTGTAAGACGACAGAAGCATTACCTCAGGCATAAAGCCTTTTAAGTTATCGAGTTACTGCGTATTTTATTTTCGGCATTTTATATTCAAATTTGTAACATGCAAATGTATCTGGCGTTTATAGAAAACACGTGGCCTACGTTTCACAAAAAAAAAACTTGCGACTAAAATCAGTCGTAAGTATACTGAATTGTTTATGACTTACGATCAATTCAAGTCGTAATAACATAAACGGTACCAATTTTTCTGCACCAAAACAAAATAGTTGCTATATATACGCATAGGTGTAAGTGTTGCGTTAGTCTAATCGTTGATATCATGCTTAAAATGCATTAAGCAGATCCATATTTTCCATTTCAAACAATGAAAGGTTTTCTTATTGTTTCTACTCTTAAACTTTTTTTTTTGGCTCTCCAAGATGATTGTCTCGCTAGCGCACATGATGAATCATATACCAGAAACACATGTTTATTTATTGGTGTTATCTATACCTACCTTTAAAAGAATGATCACTATCTGAATCTATAGAATCTAGTAGTTGATCCAACTCTTCCAACCCTTGAATCGTCTCCTGTTCAGGACTTTGCTGTTTAAGGTTAGTATAGACAACATTATCTGGTTCTTGATTTTGCTGTAATCTTCGTGATAACTATATATACAGAGAAACCATATATCATCATTTTAGAGAATTTATATATATTTAGATGCTTTTTAAGGCCAGGTTAAATGATTTGTTGGTTTTTACAATAAATAACAGAGAGCAAAACGATGGCTTCAGTTGGCTCATATTTCTGGAATTGTTTTTATCTAGATGCGATTTTAAAATAAAGATTGTTGAATTGAAAGTATTCTTAACCAATTTATATTGTTTTTTAACTATTTGTTTATTTTTTTTTCTAATTCATTTTAATCAGTGTAATTACTCATCCTATTAACTTTCCTGTCCCAAGACGCGAAAATGTCGGGGATTTTTGAAACTTACTATTTCGACTAAACGGTATGTTTTTTTCTCATTGTTGAGGTCGGATAATGACTTTAATAGTTGTCAACATCCTTGGCCATTGGTGTCTAGTAGAAAGTTACCGACCGTGCGAGGGCTTTATAGCCAGTCATAAGTAAATGGCAATCATACAACACATCCTTATTCCTGGCTGTCGTTTGCTGTCGTTAATAATGTCTCATGGTGTTTTGTTAATTATGGAATTGTGTGTTGATATAAAATACGCTTAAAAATAGTCCATTCCAGTTTTAGCGATTTAAGATTGCCGTATGGTCAAACGCTTGCGTTCTGGTGTCGGTGAATGTCTGTTTTCAGAATAATTGCAGTGTCGTTTCATCTAACTGATATAAAAGCCGCAAATCTCATTGCTTTTTTTTAAAGTAATTTTCATTTTACACCACTTAAAATTATGCGACACCAACCCAGTTTTGTTATAAATTTGGTATACATATAGATTCTACCACTGCATCGATTGTAATACGATATTTCTCCACTCGAGACATTAGTTTTCACATTTAAAACGCGAGACTTGTCGAGCTTTTTAAATATTAAAAATTCCCTCGAGAATAGAGAAGTAATACATGGGAGTCAGTGGCAGAATCTGTTTCTCTAATAATTCTGAGACAACATATAGACATTTTTCAATGATCTGCAAAAAAGATTGGTTCTTTATATGTGACGTATCGTCTTTTTTCATGGAATCACAATATGAAATTAAGAGAAATGCAAGAAACTTTTGACGTCATAATTTATTTTTGACCAATGAAGTTAATCAGTGTATGGTTCATATGATCGCAGTTCTTCATTTCTTGTCGGGGAAAAGTATAATTTGGGTTAGAATTATTCGTATTGTTTACCTGTAACTGTGCTTGAAGTTCAAACACCTACAAATAATAAGATATATCATATTTGTTTGTGAACCATAATTATCTAAAATGCTAAAAAATAAACAACACACGTGGAGTTACAAACGTATACGTTTTTGAATTATCCTAATACTTATAATTGTTTTCATGAATTTATCCAAAGGAATTTTATGTAATGTTTGTTAGTGCATCTACCCAGTTAGCACACAAATAACCTCTGGAAGAAATGGTTTAATGTTTATAATCGTGATAATTACCAACCTAAACAATATTTTTTCCCCATTTTTTAATTTCCACCTTTCGTTGAACCCCAACATTGAATGAATATACATGTACCACAGTGATATAAGACGTGTTAGGAAAGGGATTTAAATACTGCGCTGATGTTAAATAACAATACCGATACAAGATTTAAGTGTGGACTTTCTCAAAATGCAATTGCATTGAAAAGTATCTCGGCGTGGTATATTTTACGTTTTTGGTGTGTTTGATACAATATAAAGCGAACAGTTAACGTCGACTCCCAATTTTAAAACGTGCATGGGCCTTTCGTAGATCTTCATATATATATTCATTTGTATTTGTTTGATTTAGGAGTGCAAAAGAAAAACCTATATAAAAATATATATTATAAAAGGGTTAAGAATGGGAATGACGGATTTTTACGGCCACAAGTCCAAATATATGCATTGAATGATATGAGTAGAATATGTTTAATAGTCAAATAACTCAGTTTGTCTCTCCGCAAGTCTAGCAAACAACTCAACAATTTGATTTAATTTGTGTCTTGGATGTCTCCACAAAGTTCCGACAACCTTAAATGTTTTAAACGTGCGTGTTCGACATAAACTTGACACTCTGATATTCTTCTGTTTAGTTTTTTGCTTTTGCTTTTTTTCTTTTTTCCCTTCTCGGTGTTTGTCTTAATTAGTGTCTCCTATATGGTATAACAATAGGTGGACGGTTTCTCGATAACTTGTTAGCTTTTGGGGGCTTCGTCCCTCGAACTCATACCGGAAGGTCCACTGCCCTGAGCACGCTGGGGGCCTTCGACCCCTCGATAAGGTCCAGGCGTACATTTAAAAATGACCATGCTACGCCACTGGGAATCCGTGATACTAAGACAAAACTTCTGACCCTTCACCAGTTCACCGAAACGCGAATTTAACATGCTTGAATAGTTCCCAAATGTGGTAATCTTTTAAAACTGAATTCAGTAACCTCTTCTGTCCAAAAAAAACCCAACTAAATGACGAAAGTTGATAGAAAGAAAATGTCAGGGAAAATGTTAATTAGAATAAATAATTCACACATTCTAACAGGGTTTTTAGGTATTGTCCTTTTTCAGCATTAAAATAAAGTAACATTTCTAGACGAAAATAAAAAATAAAGATAATCAAATTGAATAGGCTTTTGTTTCATTCTGTTATTTTTTTAATTGTTAAGTACACAAATCTCTAGTTCTTTTATTAGAACTTAAAGCTACACATTTCTCTATTCTAGAAACATGATATAAAATAAGGAGATGTGGTATGATTGCCAAAGTAGACATCTATCCACTAGAGACCAAATGACGTCAAAGTTGGCATTACCGGTATAGGTCACCGTATGGCCCTCAAAATGGAGCAAAACCCATCCCGTTTAAAAGCTATGAAAGGCCCCGACCTGAAAAGTTTATTCTAAATAAATTTCAAATAAACGAACATATTGAACAAAGAATGATGTAGAGTAAAAAAACGGATTCGGATGTGATTTGATTGCAGTGTTTTTTTATTCATTTATTTTTATCACTTTGCGGACTTTCTTGTAGTCGTTCAACAAAATAGTAAGAAAAGTGGGTGGGGGCAACGATCTCAAACTAAATCGATCACTACTATGAAACAATGCAATTTTATGATAATAATATTAATAATGATTGTGTTGATTTGCTGTATCCTCGTCGGTGTATTGCGGAATAAATTGTTGATATTTATTGTTTAAAAATCATCTCGGCATTATCAGGTAACTATAATGAATAATTATCTGTGCTTTTTGAGATGGTCCTCACTGTAGCCTATAGTAGTATTGGTATTTAACATCAGCACCAAAATCGTATTGACTTTCCTAACACGTCTATTGGCACACATTGAGTAAAAAATTAGTTCTGACAACATGGTCTATCAAAGTAGAAACCAATGAAAGAAATTCGAACGGATCAATAACATTCAAGTATTGTAGATATGTAAATCATATGAGAATAATTAAATGTTAAATTGGCGATCATTGCTAGATAAATATACATACTCAACATTGTCATGTTGTCTTAAATGAATTAACACTGTGATATTTAAGCTTACCCTTTGCTGTAGTTCAATGTTTAATTTGTATAAAGTTTCATGGGATTCCAACAATTGATCCACATCCAAAAGACTGTTCCTGTAATCTTTTATTTCTTTCCTTAACTCGTCTTTTTCGTCTGTTGATTTCATCTCTACACTCTTTAAAATTGAATTTTTATACAATTATAGGAACATGACACAAAAAAAAAAAGTCTACGATCAAACACAAAAAGTCGCTAAAATGCATTTTTATGAATTAAACATTAGATGTTTTTAAAACAAATATTAATAAAAATAACGTAAAATCTTAGAAAAAATATATGATGTGTTAAACTATAGCAGTATTATTGATTAATATTTAAATTCATACATTCAGCTTTATTCCTAATATTGCAAGTTAAACCTGAATGTATCATTCTGTTAATAAGGTTAGGCAGTTAAATGCGGTTTGTCTTGATTTCTCTATACCATTGGTAATTAAGTAAAATGTACAAGTCATGAATTTTTAAACAAAATGGGAAAATCCTCTATGTGCAGCTATAGTATTATATATAATAAACAAAGTAGTTATCTATCGTTACAAACGAGAATGAACTAATGCCAGTGATTAATGAAGCCGACAGCAGTTTACCGATGTTCAAATCTCGTAGTTAAATCGATTTATAAGAGACAAATTAAGGTAAAAATCCAAAACAAGAGAACCATTGTGTCGACAGGGTAAACGTCTCCTGCTATGCATGCATCACCCGTCATGCGAATGAGCACTCGGTCAAAGTGTCAAAATGAACATTGACACAGTGGTCAGTCAGTGATTTAGAGTCTGTATTTTCATTTCATAAATTGTATTACCAGAAAATATTTCATTTACAGATAACTGTTGTATTTTCAATGTACATGTAACATACCGATAACAAAGCTTTTATATCTAAGCCAGCACTTTCTACTTCTGATTGAAGAAAAATCCGTGTATTACCATCAGGTGAGGAGGTTAGCAGGGAATTTATAAACTTCATACAACAAAGCTGAAAGAAATTAACTTGAAAATAATAATTTATATATTTTATAGAAATCAAATTAAACATTTAACAAATGATATAACCTTTAAAACTTAAATAAAATACGGAACTTGAATTAGATTCTCAAAACTGCTTATTTTCTTGTCATGAATTACAGAATATAAGACAACAACAAAAAACGGTTTGTCCCTCTATAAAATGGCAATTTACGTGTAGACATATACTCAAATGTAGCATTGATTTAAAAAAAATAGTAAATAAGTGAATTATTCATACGAACTACAAAATAAAGACAATCATTGTATATCGTCTTAACTTTTGTAGGACGGCTTTAAAAAAAAGCACAAAAATGTAGATATACCTGTAGGTAATAACAACATTGCTGAAAATTATATATAATAGTTGACTTCATGAACAAAAAACAGTATATGCCCCTCTTAACAGGTAAATAAAGTGTTTTTTAACTTTTATAACATTAGGACATTTCTGAATCTATAGGACTATATGTAATTTTATTGTTCGTATCCCAAAATGAAAAGTATAACGTCACGCCATTGGTTGAATTTCCATTGTTTAAGACATATTTAACCATTCACGACGTTCTGGTGTACACTTTTGAAAACTTTGAAACTGCCCAGGATGCATTAGATTATGTTACGGCTAATTATATATCATACCTGAAATGACACTTGTATTGCACTGGAACCAGCCGTCATTAACATGTTGATGAGGAATTTAAACCTGACCGGTTCACAGTTCTTTAGTCGAAAGTAAGTAAAGCATTCTAGGTCTCTATGGAAACCTTCATCTTCCATCAATACTTTACTCATAACCTAGAAAAAAATAATCTTAGAAAAAAAAAACTGATGTTTGACTCTTTTTTTGCATTTTTTACTTGATATATGATCCTTAGCATATATAGATTTAGTCTTAAATTTTTTTGTAGTAATGACAAATCTTAACCCGGCTTCCATTACTACTTTACTAAAAACTTCCTTTTAAAATTGAATCGATCAAAAACTGTGAACTAAATGTATATAACGTTTTAGAGTTAATAGGTTTACACTTCACACAGTAATATTTGGTATAATATACGTTTTGACTCTATGAAAATATGAAAGTATGATAACATAAGTTAAGTAGGTAAAGATGGTCCACACAATAATATATTATTTTTGTATATCCTGCTTGTTTCATATGCACAAACAATCTTATTTCCAAATATAATCATTTCTTATGATAAAGAAAAAATAAAACAGAAATGGCATGTCCACTCTTAAGGGCGGTGCAAGAGATGTCGAAAAGCTAACTCATTCTCACTATATACAGTTGGAAATAGCAATATTCACGTGAGCTGTAATGTATTGTAGCTTACCTCCAGTGCAGTACATCTCGACATGACATTTGAACTAAGCAAAGCTTCGGCAACATTTTCTAAACCATATGGGACATCTAGCAAAATTTTTACTGAATCCTATAAAATATTGAAATACATGTAGTATGAGAATACAAGTACAACATGATTATGTTTTTGATTGCTTGTTACAATGTAATTGATTGTTGGTTTGGTGTTTAACGCCACTTTCAACACAATTTTCTATATCATGGCGACAACCTTTCATTAATGGAGGAACTCACAACCTAAGAGTTGACATACTAGACTAAGTGATCAATCCATTTTTGAAGAAAGTTTCTAAATTGAGTTTGCGTCGTTCATCTGTAAATTACTGAAACAACATACATTGCAACTTTTCTGATTATATATTTTTTTTCTGCGTTGAATGTAGTTTGTTTCGACGAAGTAATGTTTTATCATCCACAAAAACTGTGTTAAATCATACAGAAACACCATGCAGGCAAACGTTATTCCCATTTTATAACACAATATTTTAAAATTTGCATGGAGTTACCTTGAAAGATATGATGTTAATATTGTCATTACAAAGGAAATTTACTTTGCAATAACAATTTAGCAAATAATATTAGATACATCATATGAGCAGTGCAGATTTTCCCTTTCGTTAGTAGTTTTCGAATACAACAGGTACAAGTATTAAAAACTCGAAAGTATATTGAAGAACAATTACCCTGTCAATAACCATACAACTAACATAAAAAGGCCGAAGAATAACAATAGATTTTGATGATCACCCTTGACTATGATGACTTTTGTTATATTTTTGTCATTTGTAAATTTAAGAAGTGTCAAACATAGAAACAACTGGTAAATCAGTCCATGGTCAATCATATGCAACTGATTGAATATTTTTTTTAAAAGTGCTCACTGAACGTTCTTTGATTACAAATGTCTATTCAAGTTCCCTTCTTGTATTTTTTGCTACCTCATTGATTGATAGATGTTTGCTTTAATGTCAAGTGGCAGATATGTCATGCATATTCATGACGACAACAAGTTTATAAATGCAATAAGTAGGTTCTTTAAAGTGAGTATAACGGGATAAAGGTTGGACATTTCGACTGCCACTGGAAAATGCAGGTACATGTATGATAGATAGGGCTAAAATTTTGTCTTAGAACAGGTCCCTTATGGACCTATGTATGATACTTATTAGGATTGATGCGATTTTTCACTGTATTCGTAATTAAGATACAGTACTAATATTTAGAGTGTAAACATACCCTGTATCGGAGACAGAATTTGATGCACATAACACATTCTAATTCTTCTATCTGTAAAATAAGGAAAAAAACTTTAAAAAGAGGTAATGTTTGAACATCATGTTAGGATATGTACGTTTTATTACTTCTATAAATTGAAACTCTCAAATCATAGAGTATACATGTACATGTACGCTAAAATAAAAAACTAAGTAAGTCAACTGGAAACAATGGTAAGAACAGACACAACTTTACCTACCGAAGTTAAATTTATATCTTAAACTTTTATCCCGATTACATTTAAATATGTTTTGCATCCTTTATTTGTCAAAGGAGCCTACGTTGATCATCTTGCATGTATGTCTATAATTTTACCTATCTATTATCATCAAAGAAAGAATACGTGTTCCGATGAGAGCCACTTACATGCATGAAAGATTATTGTTACCACACTCCAGTCCGCTTTTCCTCGATAGTGGCAACACCAAAGTAAACTTAACACCGAATGTGTAAATTAACAACTCGACAGATGCCCCATGTGGAGCGGTATCTGCTTACCCTTCCGGAGCGACTCACAGCACCTCTGCTTTTGGTGGAGTTGTGTTGTTCAGACATGAGTTTTTTAATGTAGTATTTTGTATACTGTTATTTGTCGTTTTTCGCCATAATTTTATTGGTCTCTCTTCGACTTATGAGTTTTTATTCTCCCTTTGAAATCTTCCGCCTCGTTTTGAAACATCACATCCTAATGAGGAATCTGGAAACGTTTCTTTAAATTCAAAAGGTTATGTTTCTTATGTTTACTCCTCAGAGGCCGTATTAATGCAGACAAAAAGGATAACAATCGATTTTTAAATGTTATTTATAGTCACGAGAATCGTGGTACATAATCCGTTGATTACAAGTTTGACCAAGAATGAACGATCTGTTTCTAAGCACTTTATTAGAGGGAAGACGAAAGCCATATGCATGATCACAGAAAGCTCACGGTTACTATTTCTTTTTAATGGAAAGAGCTAAAATGATTTTACACATTTTTTTAAGTCACTTTTTTTTGGAGTAACTTACCATTGCACGTTTTTTCGATTGTAGTTTTTCTCTGGCAGTTCTTTTCATGTCGTCTCTGGTAAATTTCTGAATGTTTTTCAACAGAGTAAGGAGCAGTACTAAACCGTTATTAGGACTGCTTATGAAATTTTCTAAAAATCTGAAGAAAAAAAATTCAAACATTTGCTCTGATTGTATTAACTATTATATTATTTGTAAATGCGTATGTGTATGTAGTGATGGTCTGGGTTGTAACAGTTTCAGTCAAGTCTTTTAATCGTTTTTATAACCAAATGCAGTAAATTTTGTCGAACCCGACCAGGATGATCTGCATACATACATGCATTCTTTACATTTGGTTTGAAGTGCATATGAGGGGTGGGGGGATAGGGGTGGGGGAAGGTCAAAATGAATAGAGTTCTATGAAGTGTTTTTAATATTCATATTAAAAAAAAGTTAAGAAACTACAAAATAAAGTGACCTGACATACGTAGAAATTATAAGACCCGTTACACGGTAAGTATAAATATGTTCAAGTTTGATTTATTCAATGAAAAACACAACATTTAATATCGTGCACATGCATAAAGATTTTGATATCTAAAATATAGTATAAAGATTATATTATTATATCCTTCATACCATATTTAGGTAAATGTAATTCGTGAAACATCACAAATATCTGACCTTTGAGTGATCTTATATCGGAATGTTAACCTGCTTAAATGGACAAAATATGTTTTTAATGATATGATACATAAGAAACTCATTCTCATACATCTAATACGACCGATGTAAACTATTTTGTATTTATGTAAAATCATACTTTATTTGTATTTTAAATCTTTTATAAGTAAACTATATTTTAATTGCATTTTATTTCTTTAATGATGATGATAATATTTCTTTTCAATACATTTAATTTAGTGGATCGTAAATGTCCTTGAATCCTTCGGTGGAAATGTGTGTCTGAGCGAATACAGTATTTGTCGTGTCCTGTCTGAAATCATGATTTATTTGTTATTACTTTATATGGTTTATCAGTAAAATATTCCCTCTAAAATATATGAAATGAGTATAATTATACGTTTACAAAGTTTTTTTTTTTTATATATGTAGATGGGTATAAAATGTACGAATAATCACTATCAAAAGAAACATAGAAACAAAAATACAACCAATACACGCCATTGTTGACCAATGCTGTAATAGATTGACACCATACTGGCGGAATTGAGCATTGTACATGAAAAACATAATTTAGTTAGAATTCATTAGTTTATCTAGAAGAAATTCATATTTTATGAAATTCTAGATGATCATAGTTACGAATTATTTGATAACAGAGTCTGATATTCGCCGGAAGGCTTTTTATTAAGATATATCTATGATTGTGACAGAAAAAAAATCATATGTCTCCAGTTCCCTCATGTCTCATGTACAAAGTTCAGCTTTTAGAATATTGTCTTATCCTTACAAAACCAGTACTTTTGCTTAAGCAAATATCTACGTTTCATCGCATTGAACGTAAAATGCAGTTTTTAAGTAGACAAACAATTTGTAAAACGGCAAAGGCCATGTTTTACCATGGGAAAACCGAAATTGAAATCTGACCAAGAAACTAAATATCATATATGTCCAACTTCACATGATTTGGAGTGATTATGTTACCTTTATTCCATCCCGATGTAAACTCGATAAGATTTGACGTTGACCAATGTAAAAAAAAACGAAGTCATTGTTTTGCAAAGGATAACCCCGCAAATTCTTCTAATTAAAAAAGAAAAGAATACAATACGAAATTGCACATCAACACATGATTTATTGTAATGCTGTCGTTATTACATTTCTGTGTAAACTCTGCGAGATTAAACTAAACTGTAGGTCACTTAAGATTTTCAACAATGAGCAAAGCCCATACCGTATATAGGTGAGGTATTAAACGTCCAAGAATGACAAAAAATGTAACAATTCAATTAGAGAACCAACGACTTAAGTGATGCTTAAAACAATAAACGAAAAACATATTTGGCAGACATCAACCAACCAACGACAAACACCGAATTACAGGCTCCTGAATATATAGAGGTACATAACTATGGTGGCAGGGATAATCATGTTAACTTTGTAAGTGCTAAAATCTTCCCCTAACATGGGACAGTGGTGTACCAGTTCAACATAGAAATCAGTTGGAATGTGCTAGACTCATCAGAGTGACACGAAGCACATACATATAAAAAACAATAAAGGAAACTACATAAATTATCCACCAAGAGTATATGCAGTTAATAAAAGCTAGTTCAATTCAAGACCTGTTAATTTATAAATGTAGACCATTTTTTTTACCAGACTATCTATCAGTACACACACAGCCAACGCATCTAGTACAGGGACGTGCAATGCCAAAATATAACCAATTACCGACAGATTGTAGAACCAAGTGGTCAAAGCTGTATAGCAATACTGTACATGTATAGTTAGTTATGTTTTGGTTTATTACAAACCGAAGCAATGTTAGTACAAATAAAGTCAATAGTCAAAAATATTACTATAAATACATTTGTAACAGTGTTTGATTGATAACCTTTAAGAATATTAAGTTTATTCAAAGGATCAATAAATTTACACCGATCGTATCTCAATCTACAAATAATTAGAATGCGATATCCCGTTTATTATAAGATTTTTACAGGTACAGCCAAACATGCATGCCAAATGTTTGTACTGTATCTATGAACGAATTCAGTAAAGGTTTAAAGCAATTTATAGAAACGATATTCATTATCGAATAATTTACCAGTTATGCATTATAGATTATGTTCATTGAAATCTAAAACGTCACTACAGATACGGTCATAGCGAACGAGTTTAAGAGGGTCTGGTTCTTCAATATTGTAATTTTCTTTTTGTAAGCCATTTTTCATTATATTTTATAAATATTGCCTATTTTTCTGTATTCTTTATATGTTTGCACCCATTATTCTCTATTCTTTATTTTTTGGGGCCTTTTTGTTCAATACGATGAGTAAAGTTGAATGTATCCCAATTCTAGAAAAGTACCGAGTGTGTTTAATATGCTGCTCAGCCTTCTATAAACTAATTATTATTTTGGATTAAACTATTTCAATACAATTTATTAATTTGTAATAAAACAATTATACCTGTCATACGACATCCTTAAGTCCAGTTTGAGCTTCTTTAGCAAATACGAAATTTGTTGTTCTGAACCGGTTCCAGATCTAGAACTTCCCGTGGATATGTTTGACCTTGTGCTCCCTTTGCTATAGGATGAATCATTGGTAGAAGGGTTTTCTGTGAATTTGCGAAGATATTCAATATACTTCTCGACGCTGTACAAAGGTGGTCGTTGTTTCTAAATATAAAGAATAATAATGATAACAAATAATATACGTGTTGACTAAATATATGTCATTGAATAAATCTTACTAGGTTTTGCCCTTCTCTTTAATTATTCTAAAAATTAAAGATTGATGAACTTCAAATGTTCAATTGTTTTTCAGTTTTTTTAATTAAAGTAAATACATACATTTTAATGAGCAGCATTAAATATTAAATTTAATTATTTACGTTTAAAACAACAGCACATCAAAATGGAGTCTTAGATGTTTTTACCATAGCAAAAAAGAAGGAATGTTACGCACACGGAAATCATAGTACATACATATATATTTTTAATTAAATGAAAAAAAAACCAACTTAACATGCACTTATAACAAAACCAAAAAATTCTAGACACAGCGCTTTCATTGCTATACTGCATCTCAAAGCCAGCGAAACCTTCCAGAACAAAAAAAAAACCAAAAGCTGATACCTCACTGCAAATTCCAGACGGTCGCTAGCACCGGTTTGAGCAGAGTTATGTGCTATCGATTGCATTTAATCTCAAGATTGATATATAATAAATGTATAGGTGTCTTACATCAAGAAAGTGTAAAATGCAATTATTAGAGCATTTGACATACCTCGTTAAATAGCATTTTCCATTTTTCATCCAAGTCCTTTATTCGTCTTTTCTGTCTGTCAGCTGGGCTTTTTGGAGAAGCCATTTTCCGAATCTGTAACGAATCGGTACTTTTATCGTCCATCTTAATTATTGTGCTGATTTAAACTCATTGTACGACAATATATAGCAATTAACATATGACAAACATTAATTGTTATGAATTATTTAAATGTTCAAAACAAAAAGAAGTCCGTTCCAATTTCTTAAAGGGATCAAGTTAGTGTAACCGCTGATAGATTTAAATCGAACATTTTAACATGGTTTTAAATCTTTAAACATTTAACAGACCATCTGCCATCCTAGCTGTCAATCAATGGTTAATCGATGTCCTTTTGTTATCTGACCAACATGAAATATACATTAATGTATTACGGAATTTGTTGATAATATAAAGATTTAGGTTTATTGGTAGAACAATTGTAGTACATTATCTTCTAAACTATTATAACCTTATTGCCAATTGATGGAAAATTGACTTTAAATATATTATGTAAATGTCAAAATTTGTCTATTTTATAAATGAAAGAAGTGATATAAGCATTCAGCTGACTGTTTATAATCCTAATAACTAATATACATTGATGTCGATAGCCGAGGTTAGTATTAAATATTTTGGAAAGAGTTCCATATGGCACCCCACGGAATAAACTGTAATACATTATTGTGTTCTTTTAGTATGGTGGAGGTGCCATATGGAACTCTTACCAATATTTTTGTTTCAATAAATACGCAAAATGATTTTTTTATTGTTTTTGAGTGAAACGGGTTTTTTTCCTTTTACGTTGAAATTACGTTTGAGTGACGGAAGTTCTCGAGTACTTTTACCCCTTGTCAGCAGTGGTATTTTTATCTCGTATTAAGAGAGCACCATTATATAAGAAATGAATGCTAATCTGCTAATGTGTGCCACGCTTTAATAAAACGTTAGAAGGTACCATGTGAACTACTAGAACCCTCCATTCGAAGAAATCCAGACAACAGCATTGTGAAGAAAGCTTAACACACGAAACGCCAAACAATAGTTCACCAACTATTACACAGTATATTCGAGGTAAACATTACCAATTATCAGAAGACATTACTAAGGATCCAATAAGGCAAATATGTAGCTGTATTCATATAATAAAAGAAGACGATGTTAGTGACATCAGCCAGTCAGAAGTTTGGGCAACAGTAGTTTACATATATTCAGATATCACAAATCGGCCAAGAAGATACAAATCTATGAAACACACAAATACTAAGGATATCGCATGAAATCCAAAAGACCGGAGGCTTTGACAGGCTAGGCGAACTGCTATGCGAATTAATACTGACTCAGCTAAAATCACAATCATGAATAGGAGACAATCCGTAAAATAGCAGACCATACGTCTATTCTTGTATCTAAAGAACAAAGACCGCGAAAACATTGATAGTGAATTGAGACAGAGACGCATTGTATCGGGTAACCAATTTGTGATGGTGCCCGCAAATCATATTTAGTCAGCGGTACATGTAGTACATTTCATAATAAATTATGAGCAATGATAATGTGAATTAATTACAGGAACGAATTGAGGCTGATAACTCTTCTCTATAAAATATGAATTTAAATCTAAATCTAAATTTACAAAGAAATGCAAAATTCTGGTATATATAATTTAAATGGCAATCATTCAGTTTAAATAAAGTTAATATAGTGTTATAATTAAGTTTTATATCCCTTTTATTCTTTAGATGGTTGAACGTTGTATTTCGGAATGTAAGTTATAATACATAACAGTCAAGCGCATAAAAGTACTATCAAAAAGTCTTATGATTATATAGCAATGACTAAAATTAGGAAGCAGCCCAACAACACTAAAATACCGTGCTTATATTGCAAGTAATCAAAAACCAAATCATGTCCATATTACAAATGAAACACTCTCCGCACCCCCCCCCCCCCATAAAACAGAACAAAACAAAAAATTTAATAACAAAAGAATAAATGATGTCGTGTTTAATTGGTCGGGATTCATCTTCTATTATTTCAAGAGCCTTACAAACTTTAAAAACAGGAAATAAATAGAAATACCGAATAGTACTAAACTAAACTTGCATTGAAATATAGCTGTTATTATAGATTTTCAAACTTCGATCTGTTTCTAAATTTACAATGTTTTAGTTTAAGGACTCGATCTTAAACGTTGATTAAATTTGATCAAGCATTTAAAGATTCCAACACCTTGAACAGTGTCCTCTTAACCAATCTTAATCATCGGAAAAGTAAACAAAGGTACAAATAGGGCATTAAATACTCATGATAAAAAATCTTTGATTCAATATCATACTATGTCAAACAGAAATCTTGAATCTTGCAAGTGGTGGTCTTTGATTTCAATGCGATGACACCTTATACAAAAGGAAGTGATAGACAGCTGTCTAAAATATGAATTATGATAAAGTCGTAAAATGTTAACAATTATTTTAACACGCGGTCGTAATTATGTATTCAAAAATAGTCAAAATAATTACAAAACGCAATTCAAACAAAGCGAACTGCACTTTGTTACTTTTTACTCTGTATAGGTTTTTAAAAGCTTGGTCACGTAATAAGTTTTATATATCAATATTATGTACAACTTGTTTCAATAACCATGTGCAAAAAATTAAAAGTTAAGAATGATAATCGGTCGTCTCCAGGTAAATTTTGAATTAATGCTACACGAATAGTTCAAGACAAAGAAAATCGGCATACATGTATGAAAGTGGTCCGTTTGTTATGTTTGTTATAAAAGTAAATTAAGACACATAAATAGCATTACAACACCTTTAAATGTGATTAGACACAAACGAATACGTTTCTCATGTTTAGATAATCAAATACCGTTACTGTATTTGTTCCAAGCAGTATTTGATAAACGGGATTGTGATTTTATATATTACTAGAACTCACCCGCGAAATCGCGGGCATTAAGAGCGTGGTTGAAAGCATGTAAACTGATTTTTTTGTGAAAAATTTTATGACTGGAGAATTTCAGGAAAGGTATCAAAAGTCATAGGTACTTAGGGGACAGGACAATTTTTTAGCCCTCCCCCTTTTTTTCAAAATCCATAATTTTTTGGTTTTCTATTAATTTCAATTATTTTCGCGTTTTTTACGTATACTTTGAACAGACATATACCGTACGTATCATCTCTATATAATATATGACCGCCGTTGATAGTCAACTTGGAATTGATAGTAAAGGAGCTGCCATTTGATTTTTAGGGGGGGGGGGGGGGGGGGTGCCTAGGATGAAATTTGAAAAAAAATAGGCAGGACAGGAGTTTTGAGTAAAAAAAAAGGCAGGATGAGACACTTGCAAAAAAAAGTCAAGGTGACAATTTAGGTAAAAAAAAGTCAAGATAAACTTTAAAAAACAAGGCAGGTCCGAATACAGTGAAAAATAAAAAGGCAGGACAGAGATTACAACTAAAAAAAATGCAGGACAGAGATTACAACTAAAAAAAAAATGCAGGACAACATTTTTCATCCTAGCCCCCTCCCCCCTCCCCCCTTAAAAATCAAATGGTAGCTCCCAACATAGCAAATACACTTTATTTATAGTACATATATATGTATGTTCATAGTATACAGAAAAAGCGAAAATTATTGTCCTGTACCCAAGTACCTATGAAAATGTGCAATTTTAAACAGTACTAAACGGAAGTCTTGTCTATGGCTTAAAAGTCCGTCCGATGACGGAAACAATATCCGGACGTCTTTATTTTCGTTTTCCTCCCAAAATAACCCAAAATAATAATCATAAGCGAGGATGACAAATGCGACTATACATGGTACCTATAGGACACAAAGGCATGATGATTAATTTATTGTGGAAGGAAGAGAAGCGACACACAAAATGAGGTCTTCTCATTTAATAGTATAGATAAGGGGTAGATTAGGTAAGTTAGAAGCATTAGCAATCTACAGATGTTCAAATCTCGTAAATACATTAAAACACACAAACCAAGACAAAAAGCAACAAAACCTGAGGGAACTTTAAACGAAGCTAGCCTCAGGGCAACTGCAAATCAGTGATCATCAATACAACTATACTAGTGTACACAATCACAGGCGCTTGGGTATATGATACAGAAATTTTTTTTCAATTTTTTGTTTTTTGTTGATTAAAATATTCAATTTTCTATATTAATACTACATATCTATCACTACTGCGCATGTCTCACCTAGTTTCGAGTGATTTTACCAACTCTGAGACAAACTCCCATTTTACTATCCACACTAAGAAATTATTTTGCATGTTTTCAACAGTAGCAGTCTGCTGTCCTCAACAAGATTTCAGTTATAACTTTAGCTCTGATAAACACTTTTAGTTAATGGAAATAGGTAAAATTGTTGATTTTTTTTGGGTATATAATATAGTGTAACATGGTTAGCTATGACGCCTAAATATCTTGTGTTTTTGCGGTTTTGTGCATTATAATAAGGTCATCTGTTTAGAAATTAGGCATTGTTACACACCTTACAAAGAGAAAAGATCTAAAGACGATTTTAAAATGACCCTAGTGCGAAATAATTTCAGTGGAATGGCATTGTCACCCTCTTTCAAAAACTCTCTCTCTCTTTCTCCTCCACTGTATTTCGTGGATATCAATTAATATAAATAAAACAGTCCATTATATTTCTTGTTATTGTAAAGACTGGAATGAACATATTTTTTGTATAATGGCAAAAGGTACTTCATTACCATCCATTGAATATCAAGAGTTGTTGAGATTTTGATAAATAAATACTTGAACATTTTGTGTTGTGCAATTTAACAGAGAAACCACATGTCATCAACATAAATTGGAGATTTGTCAAATTGGCATGAAATTGATCAGTTTTATTATTTCATATTAAAATGGATTATGATCATATTACAGAATATTACAAAAGATACAATGTGGTCTGTGGTCTGAATAAATCAACATTCTTTCAAAGATTAAAAATAGTAAACCTGGCCATGTTACGACGGATTCGTTATTAACTTTTGAACTTTAAACAAATCAATCTTAATTCTAATTGACATGTTCACGGCATGCGATATCTTTGTGTAACTTACAAATTTATTACACGTAGTTTTTATTTCGTTGTTTTAAAATAATATATATAATTGTAGATACAGCGGACATTTTTTATTGGATTGATTAAAATTATTGAAATCATTCACACGTACATAATTTGCATGCATACATGTATTTTATTTTTTCAAGCGCATTCCTATTATTACAGAACATAGTTTACGTATTAACTGTTATTTGTAAATTTAAATATGTAATTAGATTTTGATCAAATTACTTACAAATTTAATGAACGTGTCTTTGTACTGCGTCAAATGCACATCTAAATGCAAATCAAATAGTTCGATTGCACTAAAATTCCATACATGCACTCAAGTTGCAATACAACTCCATTCAACTTTTTAATTGTGATAATTAAAGTTTAAATAGTATAGATATTCATTATTTAACTTCCAGCAGGGTGGTAAGACATACAGAACTTGATATTGAAACGACTCCCACAAGAATTTTCGATCTGACGTTCATATTTATGCAAACAGTGTCTCAAACAAATTCCTTAATAATCTTCTATTACGGCCATACAATGTAAATTTCATCCGGCGCTTGACAAACACTGAAGTCAAGTAAAAGTAAACTACTCTATTGAAATTGACATACAATTAAAGTTATCTTTGTAAATTTTCTCAAATGAATGTTTTACAACACTTTAAATAGACTTGTATATCGTGTAGCAAATTGTACATATTTAGATAGAACTTTTCTCAGGAAATTAAAAATACCTTAGCGATCTTTCGTCCCGATTAATAGGTTTATTATGCTATCTTCTAATTAATCAGTTTAGATTGTGGGTGTTGAAATTTAAATGCAACAATACAATTAGAAACATTTCTTGTTGTATAACCTTGATGTTTTAAAATGAACTACCAATTGTTCTTATTTCAAATGGTTTTTCGACAGGTTATAGGTTTTGACAATGGCTTGGGGTGACATAAACTATACAAAGTATCAAATATTGAAATTTTAAAAGATACGTTTAGCGCGAAAATAAATTAAACTTGCGATACGGACAACATGTTCAAGTACGAATTACACCATGTGGGTACTATTATTAAAACTTAAATATGTGTTGTATCTAATCTTACTTATAGTATTTCGAAATATATGCGGTGGTATGTTTTTGATGCATTGTATCAAAAAGGGAGTAAATTGTAATAAAACTAAAGATTAATGAATTGGTTTTTTTTTTGCTTAACTGTGTTAAAGTTCAATAAAAAATAAAAATGAAATAAAATTATAAAAAGGATAGAATAAGATAAAGCAATAAAACTGGAAAGTTTTAAATAAAATATGAAGGATATTTTTAAATAAATGCTAATTCATCTTGACACATATCATTGATATAAACATAATATCAATATGAAACACAATGATTTTCACAACCAATGTTATCATATTACGGAAAACTCAACTGTCTCCATTTTGGAAGATTTGGATTGCCGAAGCCCCCTCCTAGATCCTCTATTACAGAGCCTACCTATTGCATTTATTGTTTTGTTATCGTCCTGAACATGCACGAAATATTTGCCACTGGACGTTACGCAACCAACAATTAATCAATTCTCAGACTAGTGCCGATAAAGCATAATTTACCGAATTTATAAATACTATTGAAATTAGAACGCGCTTATGGTAATTATTATAATATTAAAGACTACAAACAATGCGCATAGTTATAAACTTTCAATCATTTTTAAACACGACGAAATTTCTACATCCTGAATCCAAAGTTTAAGTAAGAATTTTTGTCAAAAGTAATGTAAATATAAATACAAGTAATTATATTTGAAATTGAAATTATAAAAATTAAAGATACGATATAATCGCTAATGTGACAACCCACCACAGAAAGCATAAATATATAAACAGGTCACCAAAAGTCCTTCAATGCCATCTGTAAGTCATTTGACAATGTATTTTATTTCAAACTGAAGAAGATGCCTTTTTTCACTTTCATTCACATTTCCAGACGGAAATAACAAATGAAATGAAAATGCTATCTTCTTAGCCATAATAAATGAACAGACGGACGGACCGGTCAAACAACAAATTGTCTTTACTGTAGCTTCTTTGAATGGTTATATAAAAAAATCCATAACATTCTATGATACAACGGAACACGGAAAGATTCGAAAGACACAAAAAAAAGGAAATATTCGAAAGAAAGACACAAAAAAGGAGGAAAGATCCGAAAGAAAGACACAAAAAAGAGGAGAGATTCGAAAGAAAGACGCACAAAAAGAGGAAAGATTCGGTAGAAAGACACACAAAAAAAAAAAAGATAAACGTTTTTTGGATTATTGACCTGCACGAATAAATGTATTAAATAATTAAATTTAGGCATACTTATACTTACGGTATCGTCATTTTCTTTAAAAGAGATGCAGTTAAGAATTGATAGAAGAGAATACATCACTTTCGACAACTGTCATAGGCGACACAATTACTTATAATACTTGTAAGTAAAATGTTTTCTACACCAGAACAATTAGAAAGCATAAATATATAAATGGCAAAAAGTGTATAATTACAAACCTACCTATGGGCGAAAATGCATTTATACAATTTCCTTACATGAAATAATAAGCAAAAAATAGCCAATTATTGTAGTACCATTACGTAGACAAGTTGACAAGATATGTATATATAATGTCAAAGTCATTAATGGGTTCAACTGAAAGGTAAAAACTGTATACAAACATTTAAAACGTGTCACAAACTTACAAACTGTCAAATCTTAGTTGATAAACAAATGGGATTAAACGATTTAAAAACAAATAATGACAAGATCATCCTTCAGATTTTTCCGTTGAGTTTGAAATGTCTTCCCATTGAAGTTATGTTACTTTTGAAGTAGTTCTTATGAGCTCAATGAAGAACGCATTACATTTTAGAAACACTGACCTTTCACACACACAATAATTTGAGGTCTGACGATATGGTATGTGGAAACATATATGAATATGAATAAATGAAGACGTTAAATATCCATCATCGAGACAGCAACCCAAATATAAAAAAGAAGATGTGATATGATTGCCAATGAGACAACTCTCCACAAGAGACCAAATGACACAGACATTAACAACTATAGGTCAGCGTACGGCCTTCAACAATGAGCAAAGCCCATACCGCACAGTCAGCTATAAAAGGCCCCGAAATGACAATGTAAAACAATTCAAACGAGAAAACTAACGGCCTAATTTATGAACGAAAAACAAATATGTTACACATAAACAAACGACAACCACTGAATTACAGGCTCCTGACTTGGGACAGGCACGTACATACAGAATGTGGCGGGGTTAAACATGTAAGCGGGATCCCAACCCTCCCCTAACCTGGGACAGTGGTGTAACAGTACAACATAAGAACGAACTATAAAAATCAGTTGAAAGAGGCTTAACTCATCAGATGGATAAAAATAAAAATACTACAAATACAAGTGGACGTGGCCGGGTACTTGTACATCCAAACAACAAAAAGACACTAAGTACAGATCTGAGAGTACTCGCAGTTAATGACAGCTAGTTCAAAGCCACTAACAACTAATAAAAAAAATCATGCAACTAAGACTAAATTATCAATCAGTACACATCCAACACCCAATGGATTTAGTGTAAAGACGTCATAAACAGTCAGAGAAAAACATGACCTTGTGCAATGCAAAGATAGATCATACAGGTATCGACAGATTGTAGATCCATGAATGTGTATATGTATATACATGTAACAATAATATTTAGTTTACTTTTAATTTACTGATAACAAAATCAATATCAGTACCAATAAAAACAATATTTTATGATCTAATTACAGTGTTGAATTGGTAACCTTTTAGAATAAGTTTATTTAAAGGATCGATAAGTTTACCAGGATCGTTTCTAAATTTCCGGGCACGGTAAACAATATTGCCGTAAAAATGAGGATGTGCAATCCCGTTTGAAATAAGTTTTCTACAGGTTCAACCAAATTTCAAAATCAAATCTTTATATCTGTAGAAAAATTTAGTAAAGGTTTTAAGTGATTTGTGGTAACGAAATCCCTGGCTTAACAATTTACCAGAAATACATAGATTACGTTCGAAGAATCAGAGTACAGTCATCAACAATTTTAAGGTGTCTAGTATACAGTATGGCACGTTCAGACCAGAGTCTATATGAAAGATCTGCAATCAACACAGAATTCACGAAATGAATTTTTTTTTAAATAATTATGTCAAAAGATAACAAATAACGAGATTTCTGGCTTGAGACAAGCACGTGTATAGTTTTTTCTTTGTCCTAACCTGTCCCCTCTTTTAAACGTGATCAGTGGATAAATAAAAGGTGAATAAAACAGAGAATATTACAATAAAACTTTGAAATACCAGTAGGTAAGTAAATTTTTGAAGTGAGTAGGTACTTTTTTTCAGTTTGTAAGTAATTTTTATTGAAATAAATTAAAACATTGAATTATCATCAATTATAAAATGAATATATACATTTGATTATAAAATGGAACGAAATTATATAAACAATAATACACTAAGCAGCACAATTATCCTCGCTAATACCAGTGTGATAAATAAAAAACACAAACAAAACATTAAAATACCGTATCAAAAAATGCTCCCGAGTACCCAAATCGAGTTAAAAGTGCTATACTCAACGATATTAAGTTTTATTGGTATGGTTTAGCAATGACCGAAGCTCAGTTTGTTTACAAATAAATGTGCACACGGTCAAAACGTTTTCAACCCTTTCATACTACATTTATTATAAAAGAAACACTTAATTATTAAAACTACATTTAAAAACTAAAACCAGGCATCTTATAGTAAATTTTACTTAGATTAAGTTGCTTGTGGGAAAAATGAAAAAAATATGAAACAGATACCAACTGATTTTTGATTATGTTTAGGTAAACATCTTTAGTTTTACAAATAGACAGTTTATTTACACTGAGCAAACACGCATAAAATCCATAAATATCTTCAAAAAACTTTATTACGTTTTGTATGTTTTATTAAATATGTGATTATTTATACTAACACTTGAGAAACGAAGGCGACTATTAGTCGTTAACAGATCGGAAAAAAAATAAGTATCACGAAACAAAGAATGTAATTTTTGAAAGCAAATGTAACACAATTTACGACATGCATGGCTGTATAAGGTCGTAAAAGAAGTCAGTACTTAATTTGGAAAATGTTTAGTACTACTTGTTATAAATATGTAAAGAAAAACCTCATTATGAACCAATAATTTCGGATGAGGTTATCCATGGGCTATATCATAAGGGGTGTCGTATATATAGCCACGTTTTATTGTATATCAACAGCTTGAATCAACCTGTGAGTCCAAAGCAACCGACTATTACAAGGTAGAACGAGTAGAAATGATATGCATAGCTTTGATCTAAAGCAATGATAAAATCTAAATCTTTTTCAGAAATTCATGACTATTTGTTAGGCCTTGATATTCAGTGGTGGACCCCAAATGTTTTCAAAAAGAAGTGACAGCACCGGACATATTTGGAATGTTCGTTCTGTAAAATAGGAGAGACTCTATAATACAATTGATGTACA